AACAGCAGAATTGAGCATCCTCCAAATGTTTTCCTGGCATAAAAACATTGCAGACTAGTTCACTTTTTATTCCATCTGGAACAAAAACAAATTGCAGAATATTCTCCAGAATGGAAATTCCAGCTGCTGGCTAGCTTTAATACTACATTCCATTATAATTTTGTTTTACAGACCATCTTGGGATTGAACTTTTGAAATTCTCATTCATCAATGACACTGTTTTAGGCTGATTTAAGCAGTAACGATCATTATTTCCCATAATGAGCTTAAGATGCATCTTTTACATAATTTGAAAGTTTTAAGCAATGCTTTTCAAGTATATTTGTTTTTAAACTTTTTAAAATCTTAGCCTTTTCTTTATTTAATCCATATGTACAAAATATTCACAGACAGCTGATATATTTTTTAAAAATCTTGCACATTTACAAATTAGCTTTCACGCCTACTTACGCACATATTTACATTTACTAAATTAATAAGTTACAGTACAAGATATCAGGAAAGCTTCAAAAGTATCTTGAAATTTTTGATGAAAGCATATTTGACCTTGAAGGTAGGCTAAACCCTCTCAATCACACAGAAGTTCTAAGAGTTGTCTTACAAACAGTTTTAGTTGCTTCTCACTAGAACAGAAGGTTTTCATTTCCCCAATTTACAAGATAAATGAATATCAATTCAAAAGAGGCTTAGAATCTTTTGCTGCTTCTTTAACCCACCTTCTGTCGGGGCTGATTTGGTGCAGTAACCACAACTGTGTTACATATAGTCAAAGCGATGAAAAAGTCAAAAATGTCACCCAGTTCTGGACTGAGACGTGACAATGGCTGTTCGTGGCTCCTCATCACCTCCAGATGCTTTGCACATTCGTTTACCTTTTCTAATAAGCGTGGGTCAGGTGTGATATCCTTCTCCTAGTAATAAATAGCAGTGATTAACATCCATGATTCTACAGCTTTCCAAAGCAGCAACAACCAATCAAGCCATCCAGAGCAAGGTCAATACCAAGAGTTTTACGGTGGTCTTACACCACAGAGCGAAGGTGGAGATGACTGTAATACACTTGTTCTAGACAATAAAGAGTTAACAATGAGCCTACAGATAGAAATGGAAATGATCTCAAACCTTATGCTAATCTCAGCTTTTGTAAATAGAGGGAAGGCATACATTTTCTTTTTAAAATCAAGGGATAACTAAAACAGAGCTTTCAGAATGTCTTTACCTTCAGCTTGCTCCCACAGAGAACGTATTTAGATAAGATCTATGCCAACATTTGATTGTTTTTGTACAAACAGCTGTGACTACAGAAGAAAAAATGCCAAGACCGAGACTATCAGAGGCATCCAATGTGTGACAGACTTCTTTACCTTGCCCTTTTCAGAACCTTTTTCTATTTAGACACAGAGTGACACTGTTCATTCAGTTCTCATGACTTACCATTGGGCTACTGAATGCAGTGTGCTTTGAGAGTATGCTTGCTCTTTTTGCTTCAGCTCTGCTACCTGTGCGCCGGTGGGTTTTGGTGCTCTGGCTTCTGTGGATTACTTTGATGCTCTGATGGCTGCAGATACTATCACGCTGGGATAGAGTTCCTCCTTTTGGGGCTGCCTCATCTTCCTCAGAATCAGGCTCTTGGTACATCGCTAAGCGTTTGGCTGTCAGTAAAAATACAGAGGGAGAAATGCTGCGTACGTTAAATGTGGCCGAGAAAGAGCGAGAGGGACATGGTGACTTTGTTCAAGTGATCTGGTTTTAATATTACGTTGTGCTTTCACAGTGAGAATGAATGATTCTATTATTAGGGGATAACAAATTCCAGTCTTAATTGAATGGTAGTATCTAACAGAGGATGCAGATAACATAATTAGAAATTGAATGCAATACACTGCCTCCCTCCTCACCACTCTCTCTGAAAGGCAGCTAGACTCTGAGATAACTCACAGCATTCCTGAAGACTATTCCACAGCTCAGCCTGATGAAATCAACCAAATAATATAATATAATATAATTTCATCTTCGCTTGCAGTCTGAGAAGGAAATAAACAATCCAGAAAACTTTCTTGTCTTTTTCAACAGAATAGAGACATTTCACAGGAAATACTTTCCAGCAGCAGCCAACTGACATCTGAAATGTCCTCTGAACAACACACCTGCAGAGCACTACTGCCCTTACTTAATAAACAGGGATGAGGCATGGAGAGTGTAGCAGCCTTGCCCAAGGTCAGGGCCATCAGCTGCAGACCAGGGACAGGAACTTAAGTTCTTGACTCCTAGCCTAGTGCTAAAACCACTCTAGAGTCCATCCCTTTCTCTCTGCACAGCACAACAGGCAGGACAATGCAGCATGCAGTATCAAAATCAGGGTACCCTCACCTGCTGCAGCACTTGTTTCTATAACAATTTGCTGCAGTGTACACAGAAAGAAAGAGTTTTCCCAAATAATACATTTTAGATGAATGCTTCCTCAGTCAAGAATCAAACTGCAACAATTCATGTTAGAAACTAACCCTGGTAGTTTGGTATACAGAATATAGGAAACAGAAAGAAGAGCCGTGCAACAGCCATGGAATCCAGCCCCTCTAATGACAGGTTCTGTTTAGATCTAACTGATAAATAAAGTATTCTTCCATTCCTAAAGACCGTGGATGTTTAATAATCTGGCCACTTTAACAAGTATCTGTTTCTTCCTTCATTAGGTATCCATTGAAGAGCTTTTCATTATGATCTCAAAAGAATTCACACTGCCCAAGTATACAGTACAAGTTACATACTTGTGGCTTGGCTTTGTTTCAGTTCCCTGGTGTAACAAATTAGATTTTCCTAATGTCAAATGATAAATCACTGGCTTGTAAGTCAGCTATTCAGGTACTTAGCAAAAAAACCCAAACAAAATGAAAGAGAATAATTTTCTTCCAAAACAGTTCCTTAGAAAAATCTTGTATTACACATAGTGAGTTCGGCATGGCATCACTTTTACGCAGTTAGCTTTATGATCAAAGAAGAACCCATCCTTGTCACCCACTGCAATTTTCAAACATGTTTTAGCTGTCAGAAAGCAGCTGGAGGAGCTGAAATCAGACCACACACAGCACACGGTGATAGCTCTATCAGTACAGTATCATACATCAGAGGCTTTTTCAACTCCATTTGGAACATGTATGAGCTCGGCCTGAAACATGGGAGCTGGGAGAGCTTCCCAGTCCTGGCTCTGAGTGCACACCTGGTCGCTGCTCTAACTGTATGCTCAGGTATGGAGCATCCTGCATGGCACTCTGCTGGCTCCTGCTGGAAGAAAATTCAGGCCATGGAGGTAGAAAGGGCCATAGTGCATTTGGAGACACAGAGGAGAGACTGCACAGCACCCTTCTGCCCCACAGATTGAATACAGCCCTGCAGCCCAGGCCCTGAGGCTGGCCTGGGCTGACTGGGGATGACAGAGGAGTTTCCCTCGTTAGCATTATCTGGTGTGACTCCTGCTCCTCCACATTATGTGGTGGGAAAGAAGTTGAGCAATGGCATGTTCAGTGCTGAGAGGTCAGCTGCTCCCAGAGCCACACAGATGCAAACAGGAGAGCACAGCACCACTGCCTCCTTCTTTCAGTGTCTACCTTATCCTTTGATTCACGTGACAGAACCTAGAAGATAGCTCAAAAAACCAGGGAGGCCACTGGTCTCCTTTGCGCTTCTGTTGCATGGTAATGAGTTGCAAGGCAATAAAAGTTCCCTTCCCTTGGACAGGCTGCTTCCTGCAGCTTGTTGGGATCGCACGGTTCTAACCTGTCCCATCACTCTTGCTCACTATTTCCCACTTTACTCTGCTCTGTGGAATTCTATACATTTTCTCAGTGGATGTACAGATGCCTATACTGTGAATGCAATTTCACTGATCACAGGTTTGACACATAGCTGTGCCACTTTAAGAAGATGCCTCAAGTACCAGAATGGAGCAGCACACTGAAGGACTTCTGTCCTTCTCTGCAGTGGGGAGGTGTGACAAAGTGCCCATCCTGGGATGAAGAGGGCAGCGCCCAGCCCCACAGCACAAGCTCTGCCTTAATTATCTTCTGCAGGTTCCTGGTTACATGCTGCAAACCCCATGCTGCAAACCCCGTGTTAACATTCCATTGCTCAAGATGACACACCAGTAAGGTTCTCTAAACGTTACCAAAGTTTAGAACTTAAATCAATCGTAAGAAACACATTTGTGTGCCTCATCTTCACTAAAGCTCTTAGTAGCAAACCCAGTCTCAAGGAGAGTTGCCATGACATGTGGACACAGCCTCTCTCAGAAAAAGCATAAGAAAAGCTTGGATTTGCCACAGGGACAATCTTCCTCAATGTGGATGCTGGGCATTTAAATGGTAGACTGACAGTCTTCCAGACATTCAACAGTGCACTTCTTCTCATAACAGGTAATATTCCTTGTCAGGAAAAGGACTAGCTATAATTACTCTTTTCAGCTTTGCAAAATGTTCTACCCAGTTGGTCCAACTCTCTTCCGAGCAGAGTTTTTTAAAAAAAGACCAAATTTAAGGTTCTGCTCTGAAAACACATCTTGAAATACAAGACTCCAAAGACCCTGAGATGATTATAATTTTATTCCATGTATAAAAACTCTTGTTAAGCAGAGAATGTATTGTATGCACGATACACAGCTATGCCTACATACCGTATCTCTCTGTATTCTTCATTGCTCTTTCTTGCGTCTTACATTACATCTAAAAATATTTTGTTTATTCAACATAGCAAAACCTGTTTCCTAATGCTGCATTCAGCTTATTTATTAGCCTTACACTAATCGTGCAGTCCTTTCCACCCAATGTAATACCAGCTATCTCTTGCTCTCTATACAGGTTTGCACTGTAGCACAGTCATTTAATTGTTCCTGCCACTGAAAAAAAGGAGAAAAAGGGAAAGTAGGTACAAGACTAGAATCTCATTTAAACGAGTCAAATGTAATTCTTTTAATACAAATGGTGTTATTTCTGTTTATGCCAAGGTAAGCTTGGTAATAAAAAACAGGCCTTAGCACCTTTCAACATTTTTCTCAAGTGCAGTCTTACATATTATGCAGC